CACACGCAGCACCGAAGCCGCAGGTTGCCCACCCCTGAGCGAGTATCTCCAAAAGCCCACTGTGATTTGTTTCTATATATGTATCTGTATACATTGAAACTAATGTTGATGAAAGTGGTTTTGATTACATTCTGTAAAATAAAATGCTGATTTTTAAAAAATATATATATAAAACTCTTTTTTTAATCCGTGGCCCTGTCATCAGGATACATTTGACCATACTTCACCACACTGGTCAGTGCAGATTGGTGAATGGGGGAGTCCAGGACCACTTATGACATCACTCAACCATAATGTTATCCACGGTCGAGAATGAAACTCCGGTCGCCGTGTTTATCGCGCAGGAACGCCAACTACTGCCCCACTTCTAAGCAGCACTTGGGGTGTAAGAAATAAACAATAGTATGAACTGAACACACGTGCGGTAAATATTCAAGCATCTTGAGAACAACATCAAAAACAAGTCCACAACCTAAAATCCATCACTCATATTTGAACACGTTCATCAGCCCTAAATGGACGAATGAGCCGAGTTCGGATCACTTTAATAATGCAACAATCACCCCCTGGACAAGGGTGATGGATTGGCACCAAGTCAGCTGTTCTAACCACATCAATCCCCTGCTTTCCCATTCATCCATCTGTAGTGACATAGACTCAGTCACGTAGCAGCATAGCGCTGGCTGCTGGCAGGGAAGGGGATCTGCAGCTTACAGCAGCCCTGACTGACAGCAGGTCACGTGATAGACCAGAGAGAGATGTAGGGGAAAGGTTACGGAAGGGCCACATCGAGAACCCGCTAGAAGGATCCAGAAGGGGGGCGTGGCCGGGGGGCGGAGCCAGGCCACGCTGACAGTATAAGAGGGGCCCCGGGAGGGGACCTCGGGGCTACCGTGTGGAGTGGGGGGGGGGGGTCCCCGTCGTGCTGCTGCTGGAGTCTTCACCGTCCCGGCGTCGCCAATCAGGCAGTCTACCAACTGTCCTGACTGGGAACTTTAGTTACTAAGCGTTATTGTTAATAAATCAGAGTGCCTCCTACTCTTAGTGTCTCCGAGTCAGTCACTACACATCCATCCATGCCTTTATGTTTGTCTATCAGAGGCATATAAAGACATTGCGGGGCACGGGTGCCATCCTCGCCGACAGTTTCCTCCTCCTCCGCGTCCCCCCACCCACCGCCACCCCCAGGCTGCTTCTGCACCAGCACACCGCCTCACCAAATCTCCACCGCTGCTCACTTCGTTTCCACAGGGCTGTTCCTCCCACCATCAAAATCCCGCAATCCATGGGGTTAACTCGTCTTTCCCAACGCAGAATTGTGGGAGCAATGCCACGTTAAATGTTACTTCTTATTATGCCAGGATGAGAGCTTCCTGCAGCAATCTAAAATAAACCACATACGTTTGAATCCTATACTTTCCGATGCCACGTAGGATTACATCCTGATTTGCGTACACTGTCCTGAAACAAACACTATTGCACTCAATGTTATAGTGTTTATATATTGCATTCATTAATACTTCCATTTGGAGGTTTTTTTTTGTATTATGGAGTTTTTTGTTGACCGCATTCTTTCTGTGATTCGGACCACAGGTCTACCTAAAATCCATCAGTGGGAAGCTGCATTAGTATGCATTAGTATCAGCAGACAGACGTGAGCGATTGATCAGCAAACACAAACCATGCAAATGAAACAAATTCAAGCAGGGATATTTTCTGGAGGCAGCACTTAAACCTGTTTCCTTGCCAACAGCGGGGCCACATACGGTATTCAAGCATTACAATTGTTTTTAAGGGCATCTCACATCAAATTTAAATGTCAGTTTCCAGGATCCTCGTTCACCTATGAAAAGGAAACTTGCTGCAGAATTGGTGCAAAATGAGCTTCTCAATGCGCCGTTAACGTTTTGAATTACTCTCCTTCGACGTGTTCAAATTTCACATGCCAAGCGATTTCAGACATTTCCATTGGTGAAAAATGATATATCTACAAGCAATGCCTGATAGTTTTGTTGAAAGGATGTCATCTTCATCAGCTATTCTTTATTCTGGGTTAGTTTTGCCTAGGATGCACGAGGCAGCTGAAATCCCTTCAGGTTTCATTGTCGCCGTCTCTTCTTTGCCAGCATTGCCAAACAAAAGCGGTCCAGCGCGCTGCTCCTCTGCCTCATGCCTGAACCCGCTTCCGAGCATTTACCGTGCGTTCAAACAAGCCGGTAAAATCATGGGACCTCCTCCATTGCCAGTAACAAAATATGAGAATAGGTTTTCCCCTTTTTTCTGGCAACTAAACAGGTTTGAAGCTTTCGTGACTGCAGGAATCCATACTCTTTGGTTCTTTCGGTAAAGTCACGTGGGTGGAAAAAATAATAGATCACGACGTTTCGATCGCAACATAAGCGACCTTCATCAGGTCAGACAATCACAGCAAGAAAAAAACTGCTGAAGTAGGCCTACTGATGACGACTGCTTGTGTTGCGATCGAAACGTCGTGATCTATTATTTTTCTACCTACATGACATTACCAAAAGAACCAATGAGTAACAAAACAGGTGTTAAGACGTTAAAACACCAAACTGGAACCTTTTTCAAGGAATCATGTCTGCATTAACCCCAATACTTGTGGTCAGAATGCAAACAAAAAAACAATCTGATAATATATGCATCTTTTTGGTTCTTTCGGTAAAGTCACGTTGAAGGGAAACAATAAAATAATAAAATATATAAAAAACAATAAAACTTTACCGAAAGAACCAAGAATATGAATCACTGCAGTCGCGAAAGCTTTAAATCAAAATATATGCATCGTCTTTGAAACGGATTGGTCCACACCAAGACAGCTTTCTTTGGAGCCTCGTCTCAAAAGGTGTTAGATCAGAGGACGCCAAAAGGTCTAACACCTGTTGAGACGAGGCTCGAAAGAAAGCTCTCTGGTGTGGACCAATCAGTTTCAAAGACAATGCATTTATTATCAGAGTATGTTTTTTTGCATTCTGACCACAAGTATTGTGGTTAATGCAGACATGATTCCTTGAGAAAGGTTTCAGTTTGGTGTTTTAACATCTTAACACAGCTGTTTCGTTTCCAGAAAAAAGGGGAAAATCTATTCTCAAGCCGGTTAATAGGTAAAAGTGCAGCCTAGCAATTGCTTGCCCATGCTACTGCTGGTAAAAGGGCCTCCACTATGGAGGAAGCCCAAGAGAGCCCCTCCAGTGGGTATGTTGTTCGAGTTTTCTATCCTGAAAAGGATGGGAGTACCCACATTATACCTCACGACGTGTGACCTGACAATTGACTGTGGTGTACAGTGAGGGAAAAAAGTATTTGATCCCCTGCCGATTTTGTAAGTTTGCCCACTGACAAAGAAATGATCAGTCTATAATTTTAATGGTAGGTTTATTTGAACAGTGAGAGACAGAATAACAACAAAATCCAGAAAAACGCATGTCAACAATGTTATAAATTGATTTGCATTTTAATGAGGGAAATAAGTATTTGACCCCTCTGCAAAACATGACTTAGTACTTGGTGGCAAAACCCTTGTTGGCAATCACAGAGGTCAGACGTTTCTTGTAGTTGGCCACCAGGTTTGCACACATCTCAGGAGGGATTTTGTCCCACTCCTCTTTGCAGATCTTCTCCAAGTCATTAAGGTTTCGGGGCTGACGTTTGGCAACTCGAACCTTCAGCTCCCTCCACAGATTTTCTATGGGATTAAGGTCTGGAGACTGGCTAGGCCACTCCAGGACCTTAATGTGCTTCTTCTTGAGCCACTCCTTTGTTGCCTTGACCGTGTGTTTTGGGTCATTGTCATTCCGGAATACCCATCCACGACCCATTTTCAATGCCCTGGCTGAGGGAAGGAGGTTCTCACCCAAGATTTGACGGTACATGGCCCCATCCATCGTCCCTTTGATGCGGTGAAGTTGTCCTGTCCCCTTAGCAGAAAAACACCCCCAAAGCATAATGTTTCCACCTCCATGTTTGATGGTGGGGATGGTGTTCTTGGGGTCATAGGCAGCATTCCTCCTCCTCCAAACACGGCGAGTTGAGTTGATGCCAAAGAGCTCAATTTTGGTCTCATCTGACCACAACACTTTCACCCAGTTGTCCTCTGAATCATTCAGATGTTCATTGGCAAACTTCAGACGGGCATGTATATGTGCTTTCTTGAGCAGGGGGACCTTGCGGGCGCTGCAGGATTTCAGTCCTTCACGGCGTAGTGTGTTACCAATTGTTTTCTTGGTGACTGTGGTCCCAGCTGCCTTGAGATCATTGACAAGATCCTCCCGTGTAGTTCTGGGCTGATTCCTCATCGTTCTTATGATCATTGCAACTCCACGAGGTGAGATCTTGCATGGAGCCCCAGGCCGAGGGAGATTGACAGTTCTTTTGTGTTTCTTCCATTTGCGAATAATCGCACCAACTGTTGTCACCTTCTCACCAAGCTGCTTGGCAATGGTCTTGTAGCCCATTCCAGCCTTGTGTAGGTCTACAATCTTGTCCCTGACATCCTTGGAGAGCTCTTTGGTCTCGGCCATGGTGGAGAGTTTGGAATCTGATTGATTGCTTCTGTGGACAGGTGTCTTTTACACAGGTAACAAGCTCCTAATCTCAGCTCGTTACCAGTATAAAAGACACCTGGGAGCCAGAAATCTTTATGATTGAGAGGGGGTCAAATACTTATTTCCCTCATTAAAATGCAAATCAATTTATAACATTTTTGACATGCGTTTTTCTGGATTTTTCTGTTATTCTGTCTCTCACTGTTCAAATAAACCTACCATTAAAATTATAGACTGATCATTTCTTTGTCAGTGGGCAAACGTACAAAATCAGCAGGGGGTCAAATACTTTTTTCCCTCACTGTACCTATTTATACCGCCACGTGGACAGAGATGGGTGCTATTTAGGAACGTTTCTCCCATTGTTTCAACTGCCACACGACGGGGGGGGAGGCAAAGCCCATGATGATCATTAAATGTCAAACAAGTCGGTAAGAGTTTTAAATGTTGAACATTTAATTGTGTATCAAGCAAACAAACCCATGGCTAAACAGGTAAGGTGAACTAAATGAGCGGGGCGATGTCCGTTACAATCTCCGAAGGGCCTTTCCTGCAAGACTGCCAGGAATGGATCGCATGTCACCAAAACACACACACACACATACAAAAAAATCTAAACGTATGACAAATAAGGAAAAAAAATTACCAAAAACAGCAAACCGGACAAACGTGGTAATTCAATAAAGGTGTGCCAAAACATCAGCATACGAAATAAAAACAGAAGCACCTGAAAGATTACACCTACATTAAACAATCATTGCACCGTTGGCATGGAGCCATTAAAGGAATCACTCGCCCTGCAAATCTGCCGCACATCACTTTTGTTAAAAAATAGTACAGCATTTGAAGGAGTAACTACCAGAATTAACGCGCGGCAAACGCTTTTACACAAACGTACTGAAATGCCACGTTTCCGATGGCAATGGCCTGCACAGCCAAAAGGTGTTCATAAGTGCGTTTAGTAATAATTTAAATAGAGCATTAACTATCAAGTGGTGGTTGGTGTTCAAGAGTATAGTGTAAATGTGTCAAAAGAGTATCTCCCACATGTTTACGTATACACACTCCACTCCAAAGTGAACTGCACTTGTTCCCTTCAGAGCCACTGAAATCGGTGGCGAATACCAATCGCTCAGTGGCGAAACTTCCACGTTACAAATTAAAAAATAAACAAACACGTGTGCGTGCCTCATAGCCAAGATATCCAGAAGCACTTGTTTAAGAGGCAATCGTTAAATAAGGCTTTGAGCCGAAAGCTTTAAAATATCCCAACTACAGCAACACCATCCGGCAAGAACACACAGGATAATTTGTAGTCTAACCGTTTACAAACACACGCGCGCGCGCACAGTGCATTTTGTCTACACAACATACACCACGTCAGCACAACAGCACTCACCGACGGAATACTTGCATGCATGGGCAGGGGGAGGTTTATCCACACTACTCAGCAATACAAGCTGTGCTTGTGGTTGATATACCAATATATACTTAATCCGCAACAGTTACGTTTTTTTGAAATCATCAGCGACACATTTTCCGATCTCGCTCGGTGGCTAAGACGCATACCCTGTGCGAAATAAAGGCCTCTCGCGTTGTTACTCCCAGAGCAATGGACGGGTTCTGCTCGAGACGGGACGCGATATGCTTTTGGGCGTGCGAGTGTGCGCTCACGTCGCTTGTCCTTGCGGATATATGCAGGCCTGCCGTGACGGACGTCGTCTTCTCAAGCCAGCGGTAAATTTCACTACGAAAGGTCCACGCGAAATGCCCGTTCACTTGCCAAAGTCACACGGGAAGGTTCGGAAAGCATCTTCGCCATCTTCTACAGGAGAATGCCTTGGTCCCCGGTTGTTGGTGCCACTGCGGTGCATCAGTCTCGATTTATGTAATTTAAGGCGAGTGCTTGTCCAGCCGTTATGAAGCAGACGATCACAGGCGGCTCTTGCTCAAAAGCTTCCGTTGCAGCTCGTCAAAACAGCGCAGTTGTGGGATGCCGAAGCTGCGTTAAACGTTTCCAATTAATGTTTCATCAGCAACCAAATTAATGTCCAGCAGACGGAGCACAGAAATACGATGGCTAAAGCACAAACTGGCTCAATCGGGACGTTATATCAACGCCAGTTAGCTTTTGTCAATGCCATGCTTATGCCACTCTCGTTCTCAATTGCATTGACTGCAGATATTCCAGTACAACAGAGAAAGCAACTCCCAAAAGCTCTGAGCACAAGTTTCTAACATCAATATTAACATTGGCTGAAATACACAGGGGCCTCGTTTGTTTAACAATCGTGCGCTAGTTCTGTGAGCGTGAAGCTTTGCCAGAATAATAACTTGCAAGTAATTGTTGTCCGTCGTAAGTGCTGCTCTAACTTAATTTACTTACACTTTCCACAAACGAATCTATGTTTAAAAGTCAATTTAGGTTTTCTTGTAGGTATCACCACCTCTACAAAAGTAGACAAGTCTTTTTTTTTAAAATACAACTCTGTAACGTTATCAGAAATTTGCCAGGTTGGGTTTTAGATAAAGCCATATATTGTTTGCGCGTCACCGAGTGAAGTGATTTGAGCATTTTCTCTGGAGTAATAATGTGATGACATGGGTAGAGACACACACACACATGTATATGCTGTGTACACATGGAAAGACACATGCAGGTAAATATGGAAACATAACACACCCATTACACACGTGAATGTTTACGTATATACAGTTTTACATTACAAAGAGGGCATGGGAAACCGTATCCTTCCACCGAGGAAAAAAAAAATCCCTTCATGTCTTTAACCGATGTTTGTATGGCCGCTAAAGTACTAATAATCTATGAACGCATGAAACACACACAGTACTTAGTAACATACATAAATACATTACACTTGGCGACAAAACACAGTACCATTAAGTAGTGCAGTGAAACATAATTCAAATTGGAAAACAAAATGACTGATGCCCACTTGCACGTGACAATCGTGCGCACTCCTTTGGGGGGGGGGGGGGGTTGCCAACAAAAAAAAAACCTTATAAACGATCACGCTACCGACTTGGCACGCACATTGACGACAACCACAGAATAGTAAAACCACATCGATGCGTTGCGGCATTGTTTCCATGAAAAAAGGAACTAAAATGGGAAACTGGCAAGGAGAAGAAGATGCTCAGGGACTTACTCGGGGCAACGTGTAAAGTAAGTGCCGTGCAGGGGAAACCACTCGACAAATGATCAAGAGACGTTGTCGCTCTTAAAGGGTTGATGTGCTAAACAAGAAAACGCTATCAAATAGTAAACACGATTAGCCTCCCTACGAATAAACTTGTCTTTGCTTATACCGCCTTGTGAATGCCAGTCAAGCAAGTGCTTGAAGTGTAAATATTTGAATTAGAACACGCATGCACGTGCAGGGAGTTAACGAGCTGGCGGTGTTACTCGACTCGTTACCCTTTCGGACAATTACTTGTCATGCATTTGGGTTCACCGAATATTAGTCAGAAACTGCTTACGCAGACGAACATTACGTGTACGATAAAACAACAACTTGCCCGCTCGGTGCATCTAGGGAAGAAAGCTTTGTTGTGGCAGCTCCACGCCTATTGGTTGGGCGCAATAATTCCGTTGGCGCCTGTTTCCAGGCGTTTGTTCACCTGTCGTTACACGTGCAAGGTGTCCCACGACGAGAAATATGCGACACCAGGCATGACCGCCCGGTCGGGGCGTTCAGACTGACCGTGTTTGTGAGGGAGTCACGTGATGCGCGCACAGACGCTCGCTCACGGGTAAACGCGTGTGCGTGTATACGCGCGTGTGTGTGCGTGTGCGAGCACGGCAGCTGGTTTCAGGCTGTAGCCGACTGGTCTCCGCCGGCCAAGCGTCGAGGGTTGTTGCGGAGGTGGGGCAAAAGTTAACTCGCGGATGCGTTCTGAAACCCGGCGCAAACCCCGGTGAATCCGCAACATCTTCTTCTGCCCGCAAAAATAACTGGGCGTTTGCGTTGCGGAGATGACGCAAGGTAGAGAGCTCAGGGCTGTGCGCACGTGCGCGAGTTTTACAGCGGCTCGGTCCACGACCCAAGTAAGAGGGCGACCACTCCGGCGCCGGCGGTCTCCTGCCAAACGGCGCCTCACAGTAGCTCGGGCAGGTGCTCGTAGAGCGAGTCGAGCAGGCGCTGGCTCGCCTCGCGGCTCTTGCAGCCGAGGATGTCGAAGATGCGCTCCAGCTTCTCGTCGGGCTGGCCGCACGCCTCCACGGCGCGCAGCTCCTCCACCGAGAGCAGCGAGAAGACGTCGTCGAAGATGGGCTGCAGCTGCAGCGAGTCGGCCAGCACCTGCCGTAGGATGGTGTCTCGTTTCTCTGCGCGCACGCACGCACACGCACCCAGAAACGGTTTGAGTTAGTGCACCGCCCTTCATCCCCAAGGCCTAAAAACCAAGGCCTAAAAACCAAGGCCTAAAATCCAAGGCCATATACACATTTGGTGTTGGTGAAGGATGCGTCTGTTTATTTACGTACGCATTTTTTTCGCTCTATTTCATCAGCTCATTAGCCACCTCCATGTAAATCTAATTTAAACATCAGACTCATCTCGATTTAAAGCTTTCGTGACTGCAAGGATTCATCTTCTTTGGTTCTTTTGGTAAAGTCACGTAGAATGAGAATAAAATAATAAATTGATAAAATAAAATAACACAATAATATTCTCTCGACGTTTCGGCCACACTGTCCTCCTGTCTGGAGGACAGTCTCGTCCCCTTCACCTGATGAAGGCCGCTTGTGTTGTGGCCGAAACGTCGTGAGAATATTATTGTGTTATTTTATTTGATCAATTTATTATTTTATTCTCATTCTACGTGACTTTACCGAAAGAACCAAAGAAGATCAGACTCATCCTCAAGTAAAACCTTCATTAATCAGTAGCTTTAAGCCTTTAACATTTCAACACGGCGATCATGTAATGTCTCATCAATCACTGATTCACATCAAATCTTATTACGCTCATGCTTCGAAATCACATATGAGAATCGATTATATGCGAGGTGTATATGTCGTAAAGTAATCGATTCACGTGACTGTTCCCTTGATCTGCACTCTTGAATCCTCAACCCATATTAAGGCTTTGTCTACTGGACTGTTATATCTCATCAACGCTTCTATTCCCTTGCTCAATTCAAGAAACGCATCATCTCTTTCTAGACCTAGTGCGGTTTGTTGCTGGCCACTTGGCGTTCTGGGCCTGTGCTCCACAACAATGACAAAAAAATAAGCATCCAATCGAACCGCGGCCTCAAATTGCAATGAGGGAGGGGGGGAGGGGGGCAAATCCCACACCTCTGATTATATTATCACCGTTGGCAACGTACGGTACAAATGAAGCTCAACATACGTACATACAAATCGTTACAAATTGCCACGAAACGCTCGAGTAAGACGACGTTCAAGGGGGAACTTCTGCGCCTCTGCCGGGTGGGGCAGCCTCACCCTTGGCGATGAAGGACCAGGCCTTGGCGGAGCCGGTGGACGAGCCGGACGAGGTGGAGTCGCAGCGCAGCAGCGGCTCCGACTCGTCCTGGAAGGGGGCGGTGCGGCCCGGCTTGCAGGCCCCACCGACGGGCGTGTGGAGGCCCAGCCGCCCCTCGCCACCGGCCCCGACCCCGGCCCCCGACAGCGTCCCCGCGTCAGACCCCGGCGCCAGGGACCCTCGCGTACCCCGCCCGGCGCAAAGCACCACCGGCAGAGGACCCACCTCGTCCCGTTCCGTCTAGAGGGGGTGCACACGGGAGCGGTTTCGGGGGGCATCCCCCGTCGCTGGTGAGCGGCAGATTCGAGATGACAGTGCACAAACGTGCGGTGGGATAAAGCGAGGTTAACACGGAGGCTTTCGCGACCAATATCATCCATAATACAGTTTTTTTTGGGTTATACAAGTGTAGTATTTAAATGATTAACCGTTCGGATAGCTGCAGACTTACTGCTGCTTCGAAGCAAATCATCAAATAATTCATTGGTTTAAATGCATGCCTATATACAGGTCACCATACTACAATCGGGACCATTTTAGTACACGCAATCGATAGGATGTACAGGAATGGGCTTGCATAATGCGCATGCATAACATACCTTGATTACCATATAATTAACGCAAACGGCAATGGATACCCATAGTCCTTTATAGGCACTTATTAATCCGCCCCCACCACTTGGCGGAAGAAGAGCGCACAAGTGTTGTCAGGAGGATTTCTCCACAAATCTGGCTGTCGCCTGATGAAGCTAGTTGTAATTACTTGCGAAACGTCGTACTCCGATTGTAAATGTTGTGGCTTTGCTCTCCAACACACACCGGTGTGCTGTACTCCAAACAAATTGGCCACGTTCTGTTGACGTGACAAACCTTAGTAATTGGCTGGGTTGGGTTGTGGCGGGTTTAGCGACACATTTCGATTTAACCCAAAAAAACCTGTATTATGGGGATAGAGTGAGTTCGTGTTAGGCACCCAATGGGGCGTAGATTTTTTCGATTAAAGTTTTTTTTCTCATGCTCGCAACACACAAATCGAACGGCCCGCCGGAGATTGCATGATTGTGTATAGATATTAAATCCAAGGGCTGCACCCTTGCCTTAACCCTGTTAAAATTTATTTCCACGCCAAACATGATGCCGTGATCCGCAGAATAAATGCTAAAAAGGCGCTTCCTAGTCTTTGGCAGGTCAGCATTTTTCTCTCCAGCGTAAGATTTATAGCCATTGACACAGCGCGGCCTCCAGCACGTCACCTCGGGAAAACATAGATGCAAAGAACTGCCGCCCCATCTCATTTTGAGGATTTGAGCTCAAGGTCACCGAGTGAATTCTACCTTCATGGACTGCGCCTTTTGAATAACAATGTAGAAAAATGCTATTTTGTCAACACTAAATCGCAGCAATGTCTTTTTTTCCGTCTACTCCATGCCCTGTTCTGCTTATTGTCTTTTTCTCTCACCAAATTTAGCCTTGAGCCATGCAGGCTCCTTGCATCATGCAGATGTGACAAGGTTGGAGTTGCTCGTCCCTTTGAATTAATCCCCCTTGTATGTTTCTGCTCGGATATATATCGTGTGCAGAAAATCTACACACCACTTCATCTCACACCTGAACACAGGGATTTCCTGCACGTGCAAATTCGGCACGCAGACAAAACAAGGCACTTGGCGAAGCCCCTTTGTTGCAGATGTTTACGATGCCATTACGTTACCACGGACCACAGCCGTACTATCTCATAGAGCTCACGTTCCAGCAACGGACTGTTTAATAAAACACCTCTTGTCATTGCTCAAATGCAAGGTTTAATGCAACGCAAAGTGCAGCCACGTCTTTTGGCAATAACACCAATAATTCGGTTTTGTTTAATGTAAATATTCTAATAAGGAATGCAATCTACAATGGGAAAAAAGCAAAAATCTACAACAAAAAACCCAAGCGATGCTAAACCAAGAGGACATGAGTTTACCAACATTCCATACATGCATTTATCACGATACAGGAGTCAACATGTTGACAGCGGTTTGATCACCAGAAGTCAGTTGTGACTAATGCTTACAGAGAGAGGCATCACTGTGCACCTCGTTGCAATGAATAGATGTTTGAAATAATAACTTGTACTTCACAAAGCCACATTTATTAGCATTTTCAAGGAAATGTGCAAGAAAACGTTTAATCTAATTTCCAAAAGGTGCGGTGCTTTTAGCGTTCTCTCTCGGGAGATATTTCTACAAATGATATATATATACATAGCAACGATTTTCATGGCCAAAGCCATTATTCCTGTCATGCAATGTTGTTCGGGTTATTTATTCATTTTATTCAAGGATCCGAAGGGAACATTGTGTTAAAGGAAGGCAGAAAACTTAGATTGCATCAAATGTCGACAGCTGGCGCTCACGTACTGTGCAAATCACACTTAAGAAAACGCTGACCAATTATGGGAACTAAATAAACAATTTTTGACGTGGTAATTCTTTATTGGTTTGAATGCCAATTATTTTACAATGTGTTATAAATAGCTAGCGTTGCGTGCACCAAGACAAATCCACTTGCTGTCCGCCCTTAATGGGATGACGAGGCCATGACAGTCGGAAGGCAGGAGAGATGCATTACCCTCGACACGGCACATCACAGAATGCAAACCAGAATATTTCCACTCTTCGTGTTATTATTATTCTTTCAAAACAATAAAACGATGTTATGGTGAACCAGATAGCAACGAGGATTATTTAATTTCTGACCCAAAGCAGCCCAAAGTTTCTGGGTACCTTCAGCAGATTAAAAATGTATGATACATCAATAGGCCAGCTCTTAGTATTGAAATAGCTAGAGGCATGTGCATTGATCTGTGACTGCTTAACAGGGCCATTTAGTGACCAATCTTTAGATGTGGTATGTAAATACACTCTGCTAATTGTCGCTCTTGATGCATTTGTTATTGTCTAGTTATATCATTTGCTGGTTACATAATCCTTTAGAATAGGAATTTTTCATAATGGGTGAACAACAATCTCAATCATTAGTCTCCATATGCGGCTCAAGATGTTTAATTGACTGGTTGCCATCGAGAAATACGCAACAAGTAAAAAGTGTCTTAAACATGAAATAAATTATGAGTGTTTAATAAATGCCCGCAGCAGCCAAGGAAATATATACATGTTAAACTTAAACATTATTAAGATATAACGATGTGAAAGAAAAAAAAAACACGTTTAACAATGTGTACATTCGGAGAGAACAGTAAACAAATGTAAGGTTAATTAAGCCAAGGTGACTTGGGGTGTATCAGAGGGCACCACTGGTCATGTCAATCAATGATCCAGCACCACTGGGATCCTGGCTTTGAATCTGTGCAGACACTCGGTATTAGATGCACTTTACATATGTAGCAAGTTGAAGGTTTCCACCAGTGGGTAATAACTTGCACATATCATGTTAAATTTAGCTTCCATAAAATTTCGCACCGACCGGGTATGGAGGATTTAATTTAGAGAACAACCGATACAATTCTGACGTGGAAATGTTTTTCTTTGTATCTGCACCAAAAATATAAGGAACAGCGTTGACAATAGTAGTATAATGTAGTAGAAGTATATGGGCACCACGGTGGCGAGATGTTAACTACCTCACCTGGTATACAGGAGGTCGCGAGTTCGATCTGAACCCTGATGCCTGTATATTTTGGAGTTTGCATGTTCTCCTCCTGTTTTTCCCTCCACATTTAGAATCAAAATGCATTTAGAGTATTTGATTGCTACACATTTCCACTTGATAAGCCACATCGTGGAGCTATCATTTGTGGCCAGGTCGCTTCTGAAAAAGAGCTACATAGCTCAGTGGGGGCATTACCTGGTAAAATAAGACATTTTAGTTTAGTAAGAAAATTTCAGGCACTTGCCCTTCTCTGGTCTGAAGGATATTGCTGAAGACCACTGCACAGCTTTTTTTTTCCCAGGGGTGTTCTGTATAGCTCTCTGATGGGTTGCAAAATGTCCAACGTTTCTCTCCACGTGCCTCTGGAGGCTTCTTCTGGGAGCACCTTTAGGAAGCTCCCAGTGTCCGAAGCGAAACGTCGGAAATCATTCCGCACAACACTCGGAACAACCCGACGTTTTACGCCACATCCCGGGAGCACTTTTAGCGAAACGTCAGACGCCGTCAGTTTAACACGTAGCCTTTTCGCGACCAATATCATCCAAAATAACAGATTTTTTTGGGTTAGATCGTGCAAATATATAAATGTGTCGTTAAACCCGCCACCTCCCGGCACAGCCACTTAGTAAGGTGTGTCACGTAAACAGAACATGCCACTGGTACAACACACCGGTGTGTTGGGAGAGCAACACGTGGGACCAAACACCCCCCCAAACCGCATCTCAGAGCTGGGAATGCAGACAGACAGCCCGACGGGAGACCGAGCGTTGCGAAGGCCGGCGCGACGGGGGAGACCCGACCCACCAGCGCGGAGTCCTCCATGATGGCGCGGATGCGCTCTACGAGGCTGTTCCAGCCACACGTGCGCAGGGCCCCGATGAGGCGCGCCAGGTTGGCCTCGGCGTCCAGCACCGTCCACCCGAGCAGCACGGCGTACGCCGCCTCTTGGTAGGAGGCGTGCGCCGACTCGTCCACCATTGCCGTCGGGTCCTCGGCCGCCGCCGCCGCCGCCGCCGCCGCCGCCGCCGTCGTTGCCGCCGCGGAGGAGGACGAGGAGGCGGCCGAGGCGAGTAGCGCGCGGTACAGCTCCTTCCACTGGCAGCCGATGTGGCCGGCGACGAGAAGCAGGATGTCCACGCCTGCGCCGACGGGGAGAATGGCAGGCGAGAGAGAGAGAGAAGGGGGGCGCCTCACCTCGGTTAACTCCCGCAGACAGACGTCAAGACGGTCCACCGCACAAGTGCCGGCGTGGTAACGCAGCGGCGCTTCTCTCTCTCTGTCGGCGCTATGCGCGCCTGTCGCCAACGATCGGAAACGGAAACACCTTCGGTCTGCTGCTGCTGCTGCCCGTGGTAATCCCATTGTTGTTGTTACACGAAGCCAACCACAGACACGCAACGACCACGCTTTTCAGAAGGCTGGGCCCCATCGGACAGAATTCTCTACCCGACAAACTCAATAATAAAAAACCTTGAGCTCAACAAATTCGAGACCTTAAAATAAATATAATGAACACAGTGTGACCAGACAGCAATGCACATTCCAGATGCTAAGAGCATGATTTTGCATTTCTTAAATGGTTATTTACATGACATTACTAAAAGCTAGGTAAGAGCCAGTGGTGAACACACCGCACGATGAACCTGGCGACTCAAGCTCCATTCCCGGCCATGGCTAACATCAGTAGCGAGCGATACGTTAAAGGATTCTGGGTGCAATTGTTCATAAAATGCACTGACCAGCGTCATGAATTGTGGAAATTAGCCGCAAGAGCCCACTACCCTGTGACCAAATTGCCTGGAATGCATTCAATCCCACCAGACATGCAAAGTTGAACAAGGATATCGCCTGGATGGGCGATCACCATGCTTGGCACGTCGTTATGTTCTATAGACGACTATAAGTTGCATGGTGGACAGCTGAGGGTGGTGCAGCAAACTCTGCTGTTGTATTGTATATATGTGCTCTCCAACCTCACCATGAAAGCTAACGTGTTTCTTGAACTGAGCGACGTTACACGAGCTTCGGAAAAGGGACGATCAGAATCAGAATCTGTATTTATACTGGAGGAATCCGATGGGCAATAAAGCTCTTTTTTCACAGATGTCCAGTAGGGAGGAAATGATGGGAGGGGAACTCCAAAAGTCGAGCAGTGTGAGGGAACAAGCAGACAGAGAAGTGTTTTGACCTGCAGTATGATCGATGAACACAGCACGGACAAGATGAAGCAGTCAGCCTGGCACACTGTATCCTCAACATGGGTGGAGGAATCAATAAATGAGGTCCACGGAAACAGGAATCTTGGCAGCAGAAAAAAAAAGAGCGGTAAAGAGGTGACCGACCGCTAATGAGCGAGTGACTGGAAGTGAGAATTAGCGAGTGCTGGATCGTGCATAAACTCGACTGCTTTGATAAGAGGGGAAATAATACAAAGAAAAAAAAATCCCCTTGGTAAAACGTCATTCTTTACGTCTTTCGGTAAAGCCACGTAGATAGGTTAAAAGAAAAAAAGATAACAAAAAACTACAACGTTTTGATCGCAACACAAGCGGTCGTCGTCAGGAAAAGGGGGGTCAGCTTCTAAAGACAACTGCTTATAAAGGTTTGAAATGGGCGTAGCCCAAATATCACCAGCCAATGCCAATGCAAGTGGTGGGTCATTGTGTTAGTGAACCTATCTACGTGACTTTACCAAAAGACCCAAAGAATATAAATTCCTGCAGTCACAAAAGCTTTAAGTCTCGATTTAAAACGTTATAGTTGGGTCTCATCACCACTGGATAGATGACTCAAGGATGGGTAGCTTAGGAGGCTAATACCACATGAGAGCATTGAGCTGACACCTCCTGGGTTTGAATCTGGGCAGCCGCCCATGATTAAAATGGGTAGTGTCGTCTCAAGTGTCGAGAATTGTTGGCCTCAGTCCAGTTACTGAACAAATAATAATGACACATGGACTTTCATCAGCTTATTCCAGGCTCTCAGTAATATATTTGTTGGGTTGGATTGACAAGCAATGAGCACATTTTGTAAGATATACAAAAAGGTGCACCCCCTAATGTGGATAACGAGGCCTGACTAGTCAATATCAGAAGTCGCTCCATGGCATCAATTTACAGAATTGTTCTCCGAAAGGATATTCAGCTATCTCATGGCATGGTAACGATGGCTGAGCTACAATAAAATTGGGCAAAAAAATATGACTTACATTTAAAGAATCTACAGTGATCAGGGAGGTTGCTATTCTTTATGCATAATTCAGCAATGTATCAATGCCTTAGCCAGATTTAACTTAACTTGCTTTAAACAACACACATGCTGCGCACATGCAATGTAATCCTGCTTTGAAACTACCCTGTGAAGATACTTTAAGATAACAGGAACCAAAAATATTCTGTAAATTTTTTTTGCTGGTGGAACAGCCAACCTCAGCAGACTTTTAATGAACAGCTGGTGTTCCAGTCTTGGCTGAGAACAGAGGTAGGCTAATGATCAGACATTGGAGCACAGCTCTGGACAAGTATAGAGTTCCCAGCCCTCTTCCCCACCCCATCCCACCCCTCTCGAACCCCAATGAAAAACAAGCAAAAACTTTTCAGTGACAACAATTCGAGAGCCACATTTTTTTTTTACCTAAATTCCCGCGTACGGATTACATGTCCAAAATGAAAAGCCGCAGACAGGCCACATATATCCCCTGATCATAAAATGTCACCACATCACCTACAGAGGCGTTAAAAGCCACGATTATCCACTCCCTTCTCTAGCACAGCTGGCCTGGCGGTCGGACGCCATGACGCCCAGTGAAGAGAGGTTGCTGTGCCACGGGCAAGTCACACTCTGAGCATGTCGGAGGGGGTAAACAAAAGTTTATATTTGTTTCCCATTCGGGCAAGCCCGTATGGCATTCTTTCATCTGCATGTATGGTTGATCTGATACTGGTAGGAACGAAGTTGTAAACTGAGTGTACCAGCCTGCAATAGATTAATGCGTCCGTCCGTCCCCTTTCAATACTTTAACGAAGTGAAATCTCGTGCTGTTGGGTGTAAAAAAAAAAAAATTCCAATGTTCCTACCAGCCCACCCTGCAAGGGACCTGTTTACGCGTGTGTCAGATGAATGCACATTGTCTTAATCATCAGAGGTACTGTGCCTCAAAAGACAAAACCATAGACGTCCGTGCTATGCCCCCCTGCTGCATCAACTCAGGCAAGTGCCTTTTTCCACGCACAAGACGATCTTGTATAGGTTCGCTACGCCTGGTGCTGGGATTGGCTCTCATTCAAAACAAAGCTTCACTTTGGTACTTTCTCTGCATGCTCGGTGTCAGCGTCTCGGTGAGAGACCCCTACCGCGCAACATCCTTGAAGCAATGTATGCAAACACCAGAAACGTTTAGACATGTCTGAGATACTCTACGGATGACCTATGAAATCTATTTTTTTTTAGGTTTTGACGAATCGCTGCCAAGTCTGGCAAGATCTGGATCCGCGGCTGCCAATACATCTGCCTACCCATTCATTTTAAAATCTCGCTCAAAAGCAGCACTCGATATTTGAGCATCTCTCCACCACGAGGATCACTCCTGCAGCTAACACTCACAATATGCATGCGAGTATAATCAAGCTCTAGCAACCAAAAAGCCACAGCCAAAACAACACAACCACAGTAAAGGCATGAGACAACAAGAATATTGAGAACAGGTTTTCCCCTTTTTTCTGGCAACAAAACAGGTGTTAAGATGTTAAAATACCAAACTGAAACCTTTTACAAGGAATCATGTCTGCATTAACCACGATACTTGTGGTCAGAATGCAGACAAAAACACTCTGATCATATATACATTGTCCTTGAAACTGATTGGTCCACACCAGAGACAGCTTTCTTTTGAGCCTAGTCTAAAAACGGTGTTAGACCAGAGGACGCCAAAAGGCGTACAATACTGTGAATAACTACACATGGAAGCAATGCTTTCTTAAATATATCAATAGTACAAATCTGGCTGTTCATGTGTCCAGGAATATTTGTGAATCTTCTGCGAATCATAATTAGATTAACCCATGAAGACAGAAAATATTTGATTTACGAAGCTACAGCAATAGGCGTAGGACTCCAAATGGTTTTTCGCTGCACTGCATTCTTATGCCCACCACGTAGCCCGTCAGTCTATAGCAAACTATCATGCATGGTGGTTGCCAATGCAAGGGGCATATCCGGGTTCCATTCCGCTTAGGTTCTGAGATCTGACAACATCAGGCACATTCTGGGTGATACGGTCAGAGGCTCCATATCAAATTAGTGCTATTAATACAGTCTGCAATAAAAGGAATATTCATTTTCAAAATTGATAATGCTATTGTGCTAGCAAGCTCACAATGATGTACTGCATTATAATTTTATTTAAAAGGCAGCGTGTTGAGAATATTAAGTTACGTTCAAAGTTTCTGGATGTACAATGCCTTCTGGAATACCGTGTTCCGACTGATTTTTGTTTGAACAGTCAGTCAAAAGCAAAAAAATATATCAAATGGAACACTGTGTTCATATTCTTTGGGACTTTCGATAGTCACGTAGATGGTTCAAAGAAAATAACAAAAAACGACGTTTCTATCACAACACAAGCTATCGTCATCTTTCCTCCTGATGACGATCGTTTGTGTTGCGATCGCAACTTCGTAGTTTTTTGTTATTTTCTTTGAACCATCTATGTGACTGTACCGAGAGACCCAAAGAATATGAATTCCTGAAATACGAAAGCTTTAAGTCAAGATTTAACACAGTGTTCCCCTTAAGGAAAAATTGTAAAGCATGCATACTTGGTGATAACTGTGCAATCATACATCCCAGCGACAAAACTTAAAATGCCAAAAGATATTACCTTGGCTTTATCTCAAAAAATCTATCAATCACAGCCCTACGATCGGTTTTGGCATGGGTCTTAATTTTGGTAGCATTTATGCTTTTCCAACGACTTGTCTGGAACACACACGTAGTTTATTTACAACTAGGCCACGGTGAAAAGTAACTAAGCAGTTGTGCCTACTCTGCACTGCATTGTAATATGATGTTTTGCTTAAACCGTATATTGCCTAACAGGTTACAGCTAAATCTTGGCTTAAAGCTTTCGTGACTGCAGGAATTCATATTCTTTGGGTCTTTCAGTAAACCCGCAACACAGGCAATCATCATCAGGAGAAAAAATAGCGGGAAAGCTGCTGAGGCAGGCTTTTTTAAAGGTTTGAAATGGGTGTAGCCCAAGGGTCATAAGCGAAGTGGGCGGGGCTAGTTATGTTAAAGTGAGAAATTTGCATGTCAATGTAAGATCGCAGAGCCACCGCCACATCGAGGAGAACGAGCAACGGTGGCTGATGACGACCGCTTGTGTTGCGATCGAAATGTAGTAGTTTTTTTTGTTCTTTTCTTTGAACCTATCTACGTGACTTTACCGAAAGACCCAAGAATATGAATCCCTGCAGTCTCGAAAGCTTTAAGTCAAGATTTGATGCAAATATCATCTCGATAACATGGGCAGATTAGGTTTTAAAAAAAGCTAGCCTAAAAATAAGTGTAAAATTAAGGGCAAGCATTTGTCAAGTCTCGTACATTTCACAACAACACCGTCCTCTTGCCTAAAAACGGGGTTATATTCTACTCCAGTCGTAACGTGTTTATCAAATGACCTTATGGCCCGGTATGCAAGGCCACGTCAACCATTTTTGTTGAAGTTGGCGAAAAGACAACTCTAATCTTGCACCAAGTAATTTTGGGATAACATCATGGAAAACAGCTTCATTAAGTAAGCTTGAATAAACTCATCAAGAAGCAGCCCAGGCAAACCTAAAGCTATTTACTCAAAGCTAAATTTGTTCCTTCGCAATCAAGCACTGCGAAAGAGAAGCTGAAAATAGGTGGATCAGCATCAACTAAGAGATTCTGGGCATTACACTTATTACCGTGATAATCGCACCTCCAATCGCCACGGTTAGCACGGCTGGCTACGGTCACGATGTTACACTTATTTACGGAAATGGTAATGATCCTTAAAATAATAGGAAAGGGCGGGAACGAAAGTGATGCTCACGGGAATGTACGGGAATGTACGGGAACCGTATTTATCCATTTAGAAGCTCAAGGGATGGAAAGGGAACTGACCCCTTGGGGACAGAAGGAATAGCACTCATGGGAACGGAGAGAAGGAAACGATGATGATGGTGGAGACGCCATTCAACACTGGTTTATGATGAACAAATATATACGAAAGACTAATGTTTCTGCCAATTGGACTTAGGATGGGAGCGAGCAGGAAAAGGCAAATGGACTGATTGGTTACTCAGGGAACCACAGTGTCCCTTGATTCCCAACCGTAGGTCATTTATATTTACGTACGTTGGATGTCTTTCGCACTGTACGTAGGCAACCGCGCTAATCAGATGCGAGCGGGAAAGACAACAAACTAAACACAAAAAAATATGATTAAAAATAAATTATTTTCAATGTAGATGGAAAAGTGCAGAGCCTCAAGTCACTTCCTAATATCGAAAGGAAGAGCATCCCAGACAGCCGCAGAAGCGCACCTGAGAGATGACCGTCTTTGTTCGATGGCCCCCCAAAAACATCACCTCCCCAGCTCACTGTTCTCTAAAAGAGGGCCACTACACCGATAACTTCAGCCTGCCATAATGTCTGTTAAGAACGAAACTTGAGGCAGCGTTAAGAACAAAAGTTGATGTTTTCTTTCGTACTTGTACACCGCCAACTTATGCGGTTCTTTCATTTTCAGTTTGATTTCCATCACAATCGTTGTTTCATTTCATATCTGTTATACTGGTGACCGTCTTAAAGCCACTCTTCGTAAACTCTTTGAGAAACTCACTAAATGAAAAGGGGATGGGGGGCGGGGGGAATCTAAATTGATGGAAAGATATTTTGTCAAGCCCATGGCACGCAATTGGAAAATGCTATTTTTGATCCCAATGAACTCTATAACCCAAAGTAACACCATCTCATTCAATGCTGGTTTATTTTAGATTTTATGTCAACAAAATAAGACGAGTCATGGCAAACAGATATAAAAAAACAAAAAATTACACTGCAATTATATTTTTGCTTCACAAATGTTGTAAAGAGGCAGTTTTAAAAAATGGCAATTGTTTAAGGTTCTTACTACTTACTTGGTTCAACCTTTGTTGACAAATTTGTCATGAGAAATGTTTCAAGGTACAAAAATAAAACTAAATTCAGTGCTGTCTATAGCACGGAGATCATCATTGAACTTTAGCTTATGGTACAATGTCAAGCATGTCGTCTTGGCCGTGCAGAATTAAATGTGTAACAGTACAATAATTTGCTAAACTCGAGATTTAAACAGCGTCGATAAATGGGAATCATAGGGTGATGTCCCCACGAGAAGAAAATGTTCATACTTTTTATGATTCTGTGTCTTGCCTATAATGGATCTCAAACAGTAAGACAAGGAATGATTTAAATCTGTTCAGCCAAACCAAAACATGTTAAATATGTTGTTTCACAAATGGGTACAGCATTCATATCATGTTGGTAGCCACATAGTTGGATAATGAAAGGCAAATTTGTACATAAACGTGTAATTTGATAGGCCGTAGTCAGTATAAAACTACGTTCAAAATTCCCTGAATGTCATCCCTGCCGGGTGAAGCATTTCAGTGCAATCACTGGTCCACTGGCCACTTTTGGCAGAAGTTGACTTATTTCTCATTTTTCACTGAAGATGATTGCAGCTTCAATTCCACAAACATGGTTTAACATCAATGATCTCTGCCACAGGAATGTGGAATTTTTATCAGTGGTTCAGGACCAAACAAAGAACATTTGAGCAATAAGTTAGGTTATATTAGACTTACGTTGGCCCTGGTAGCTGAAGACCCACTTGTTCGCCGGTTCAGCGATCTGCAGGTTGAGCTGCGTGCGGGACTGCCCTCTCGCCCTCTGACTATGCTGCTGCTGGTGGAGGTGGTGGTGATGGTGGTGGTGATGGGGCAGCTGCTGATGCTGCTGCTGCTGCTGTTGCTGCTGCTGCATCTGGGGCGGCACGGCTCGTTGGCGGATGGTCTCGGGCGGCTCTCCAGGCCCCTTGCGTAGTGCTCGCGAGCTGCGGTACACGCTGCACGCCACTGCCACCACGAGCAGCAGCAGGATGAAAACCACCACCAGCCAGGCCACGTGCTCGTTGATGTCAAAGGGCGCTGGCGGAGGCTGTGGAGGCTTGGCCAGAGCACGGCCTGATGACGAGCGGGAAGGAATCCTGCTGAACCCAGGCGGAATGTTTGCCGCCGATGAGCCAGAGAGGGATGGCCAGCGACGGGGTGGCTCCCTTGACGGTGGCGATGCCTTGTCGCGTCGGTCGACATCGTCGAGGGAGGGCCGCGCTTGCATCGTGGGGGCTTCACCGGAGGTGCTGTCTCCGGATATAGCTGGCACTGCGCGCTTTGGCAATTTGGTCATGTTTCTGCCACTCTCGCTTTGAGCGCTGAAGGTGTGCGCGCTGTCGCCCACTGGTGTGATTGGGATGTCGGAGCTGAACGCAGTGGTAGCGACATCAGATTCGGGATTGGTTTGCCAAATGGCACTACCTCGGCTCTCCAGAGTGAGTGGTGATGTAACCAGGCCCTGCTGATGAGGATCTCCTGGCTGTGGTTGGAGCCCTGAGGGTGAAGGTGCATAGCTGCTGTCAGCACCACTGGGCAGAGGAAGTGGGTCCAGGTGATGCTCACCGCTAGAACGTGGTGTGGCTGGAGCCACCAGCTCTACCCCACCCTCCTCCTCTGCCCCACCTGGACAAGACAAAAATATGTTTTTAATATCTTGTTCAAACAACATTCATTTCACAAGTGTTATCCCATTTGTTATGTGGCACTCACCGGTGATCCACTGCTTTTGAGGCAAGGGTTGGTGGATCACCGGCTGTAAACGTGAGTATGTGTGTATGCTGAACTTCTTTCGCACCGTACGTAGCCAACCGTGCTAATTGGAGGTGACGAGTAACCAGAAAAAGAAAGTGTGTATGAGATGCACTGCTTCCCTCTGGGTACGCTGGGTTTTTTGTCTGCCCAAACATCCCAAGGCAGAACCCTTCTGATAAAGTCTCTTGAAACTCACTGTGGCTTTTCCAGGTAGAATAACTACATTATTTAGGTCACTTTATTTAACAAGTTTCTTTAATTTCTTCACCACAACAAGAGCTGTATTTTGGCAATAACTTAATTAAAAACTTTAATGCAACGGGAATTTTTTTTTCTGACATTCTGCTCTTAAGTGCTGCTGAAATATATTGACAATTCAATGTTAAGTTTTGCTAAATAATAATAAATATACTGTGACAATGCTTGCAAGAGGTAATGTAGTGTGTTTAATTAAAAGGCTTTCTTGAAAATTGTACTGTCAACCTCTCTGTACCTATACAACTTTTACCGAATTATTTATACATTTTTTTTAAAATCCCTTGCGATAAATGGAAAGTGTGCCAGTAAATAATGTCACAACTGCTAGTTTTTTTTATTGATTTCAATCTGTTCAAATGCCTTCAAAACCTTCCAACATCACCATCTGTGCGCTCCTTTCATTTCAAAACCAGCAAGTCCTGCTAAGATCCAAACAAAACCTCGCAACGGGCTGGTGCACACACATTGCTCAGGACCCAGGCCAAACATGTGCAGCCTTATGTTTGGTTACACGGTCACTGATTGATTGGCAATAACGCTGCACTAACTTGGGTGGACTATGTATAATATTATGATAATAGGGTTTTTTCCCCTTTTTTCTGGCAACAAAAGTGAAACCTTTTTACAAGGAATCATGTGTGCATTAACCACAATACTTGTGGTCAAATGCAAACAAAAAAACACAGTGATAATATATGCATTGTCCTTGAAACTGATTGGTCCACACCAGAGATGGCTTTCTTTTGAGCCTCGTCTCAATTGGTGCTAGACCAGATGACGCCAAAAGGCGTACAGCTCAAAGACAATGCATTGTCAAAGTAATGAGGGCTCGGGGTAAGCATCATGTAGATGCATTGTCTTTGAGCTGTACGCCTTTTGGCGTCATCTGGTCTAGCACCAATTGAGACGAGGCTCAAAAGAAAGCCGTCTCTAGTGGACCAATCAGTTTCAAGGACAATGCATTTATTATTAGAGTGTGTTTTTTTGTTTGCATTTTGACCACAAGTATTGTGGTCAAAATTATAATTATATTTTGGTACTGACAAAGGAGGTCTAATGATATAATATTATGCTTGCGGATGATTATTCCTTGGGTAGAATGTCATTGGAATCAAAGTTTACCGTTGGGTCTATGATGCTACGTAGTAAAGATTTTACATCTGTAAACTCTTAATAAACTTAAGGATTGATTAACCTTTGTCTTGTTTGTACCGTTTTATTTGCACGGTCTATTTCATTGCAGCGTATGTCTCATTTGTGCCCTCTCTTTGCTCAATTGGTCTAAAGGCACATTGGCATCCAATTGCATAGATCGTAATAAATTGATTCTCAAGCACATACATTCAATAAATTACCGGACTAATGTGAGCAGAACAATTTTTCAGTTAAACATACATAAACTAATACATTTACCGATGAAAGAATCGTCTTTTTGACAAGTAGTGCAAGTCACTGGCCACTGCCGTGTCAGACTGATGCATCAATTTGGTCTAAGGATGTGCAAAGTTCAGACAGCGTGATTGCAAACTGAGTGCCAATTTCTATTTCAGGATGGTGCCACGGCCTAGTGGGAACACGTTCGCCGCTTGTTGCGGAGGTTCTCCGATCGAACCCAGTGGCCATCCTGATTATTATTGCGGGTGTAATCATACGCCTCTTAAGAAGAATCTATGGCCTTGAGTTTCCTGGTTGGCTGCTGGCTGGGCACCTCTTCAGCCCCAACGATAACTCTGCGGGCCCATTGTCACCGAAACTAGATGGGGCAATTGGCTAAGACGGGATTTAACGTGTTACAAATAAAGACTGGTTTGAAACGGCGGAAGAAGTTCGGAAGACCTACAAAATGGAGGCGCGAGTAACAAATACAGAAGTCCAACATGGTTTATTTCAAATTACTCGAACTTTTCCACGTGTGATCGTATTGATTCAATTTGTGCCCATATTAATTTATTAAATCCTGAAAACTGTAAAAAAAAAACTGACGATACGTAATATTTTTTTACTACAGAAAAAAGGACGTTAAGTCCTCCAAGTGCAGGAAGTGAGAAGAGGATGAAAAGAACAGATGTGCCTTATTTTCCGTTGCGCAGCAACAGGATCTTTACTTGTAACCGTAACAAAAATACGGGCCCCTCCTGCATCGCATGGATGTTAAAGATCCCCTGACGTGACGTCATTCACAACTGGGCGGAGGTGTCAGGATCCAAATTTGCCAAATTCGAAAATTGCTCGCAAAATTACTCAATTGTGATTATGCACAGTGCTCACATAGCCCTCTTCGAGAGATTAATTCTCCAGGTCGCTCTTGAAAATTAGACTTTCCTGGTCTCAGAGTTCTCACCTAGTTAAACAAAATAAACTTGAACTGTCAGGATCCATCCTTTAACGTGACAATGCATGCACCCAGGAACTGCATGGAACTGCAGCAGCAGCAGCGTTCTTTATAGTGATTCACTCGTGCCTAACCCCTTAATCACTGCGCCAACCACATCTCCAGCTGTACACGTACACAGATACTGTAGGGCTGCCCGACGTGCCTCCTATGACGAGAGGGAATTAATACGGACTTTTGAGTAGCCCAGCTGTCAAGTCATTTGCATACACCTGCAACAACTTTCTGACACAGGAAGCCCAGGCTAATTTCCGCACAGACCACACGTTCAAGCACCACAAAACACTTGACTCACCAGGCAGGGCGGCACTGGCTGGCGTGGGGACGCTGCTCGGCTCTGCCCGAGCGTCCACCACTCCACCATCTTCTCCTGCCGAGCCCCCGCTGCCGCCGCACACGTTGTCCTGGCGTCCGTCACCCGGGGAGGCGATGTGGAGATCCAGCAGCGCGCAATCCGTGTGGGGCCGACAGCGGGTGGTCGACGACTCCTCGGAGGAGAAGGTGCCGCGGGAACACTGCTTGCATCTGCGTCGGGACGCGTTAGAAAGAGGGGGGGGCGGAAGGGGGTGTGTGTGCGGGAGGGAAGGCGAGGGAAAGCCATGTCTCTTAAAGCTACAGAGCACACACATTTGCATTTTGGCGGACATTATGTTTGCCATTATATTTCCCTCATTCCAGAGCGATGTGTCCATACAATATAGCTGGAAGTGTTCTAGCTGCACTGCCCCTAATAGGTGAATGTATTTAAACTCTTGGGAGGCAACGCACGTGCTCAAAATAGCGATGGCAGATACAATTTGTCCAGAAGGCAGGGGACGAGCCTGATATGCGGGAGGAAGTAAATCATAATTAACGTTTTTGGGTTAGATCGCGTTTATTTATAAATGTGTCGTAACCCTCCACCACCCGACACGGCCAATCAGCAAAAAAAAGTGTCACGTTGACAAAAGACAAATAGTTCACTACTTTAGCCCACCGGTGTGTTGAAGAGTGAATCCACAACATTTACAATTTTTTGAGTACGATGTTTCGCTGGTAATTACATCCAGCATCATCGGGCAATTCGCCATTCTGGCGAAAAAAACTGTAAATGTTGTAGATTCACTCTTCAACACACCGGTGGGCTAAAGTAGTGAACTAATTGTCTTTTGTCAACGTGACACTTTTTTTGCTGATTGGCCGTGTCGGGTGGTGGAGGGTTACGACACATTTATAGATAACGCGATCTAACCCAAAAACGTTTATTATGAATAATATTGGTCGCAAAAGCCTAGGTGTTAAACTGAGGAAGTAAATCATTAACATGGTCCACCCTTAGCCATGCCTGTTAAATATCTGTCATGTATACAGATATAGAGTTTAGCTGCTCTGTATCAGACAGTGCTACGTGCCCATGCAAAGCCTATGCAGGGGCAGCAGTGGCCCAGTTGAACTGCTTGGCGTCATTAGTACTGAACCCAGGTCGGAAACAAACACCCGTGAGTGTAAAAAATATGTAAAAACAAATTTGTATCCATCCATCCATCAGAGGGGAACTTGCAACACGTTGTGAAATTGATAAACAATGGTACCGCATCCTGCACAGCTGCCAGCTTGCCAGATCATGTTAGGAGCTTTGAGTGCAACATTGCCCTTCCGAGTTTGTTTACGCAACACTATCTGCAACCTCTTACAGTCTCCACCCTACACTGGTTCATGTTCCCAACTACAAACAATAAAGTCAAGAACTACCCTGAACCTAACAACTAATGTTAATACAAGCGAACACCATGAACACAATTACTATTTACAGGCCACTTCAAATCATGAACCATTTGGCTCAAATACAACACAAAAGGAACATGTCAATTATATAAATGAAGAGTAATTCAGAAAGACACTGCCTACGATGAAAGACAGACAAGGCAGACTTAAGAGGAAAGAAAGCCTACATTCAAGCCAAGTGGCACAATAACGGCCACGGGTGGCCATAACAGGCACAACCGAAGCGGAGGTGGAACAAGGAAATTAACACAGATGGAGGCTGAGCAGTGGATTTAGAGCTGCACAGGATCAGCGACATCAGCATAGACAGGCTTCGGTTCACTAAGCAGTTAGGAAAAGCTGATGATAATACAAAAGCCAGTGCAATTTCCACGTGTGTCCTGCAACACACATCCTTGAAGCATTCAAGTGACTTCCCCAGGTGTTCTTACATGAACAGCTGTCATGTAAATCTGTAAAAGCCAATCCAGCCCCCCAGGAGTTTTGTACATTGTTACAACAACAAAAATCGCCATTGAAAAACGCAGTCGATCCTCTCCAAAATGCACGTAGGCTAATGTAAATTTTGTGGTAATTAAAAAAAAATTTGACCAAATAAACTCGTTGACACATAAGAGACAGATATAACACGAGGGGATATGGGAAAAAAGGGACAAAAATATTCTTGATTCAAAAAGTGACAATGAATGACAATTCATCCAATTGTTGGGAGAAGGGTTTGTGCATTGGGGCAGTGAATAATGGACATGGCTACAAAATGCCTGTTGCACATGCTTCTTCTAGGTTGTATTGTACATGCTTCCAGTAATATGGTCTCTATTGGTTTAATCGCACATGTTTATATGAACGTGCCTACTCTACATGCGTATTCGCTTTATTGTGCACGCCAACAGCAGGGCGACTTTTAACGTCAAACCATCGACGCATCGGGTCACTTCCGTCCAACCTCCCCCACTCGCTCACACCTGACGTCTCGAGTCTCCGTGCCCCTGCGTCGGACGCCCCATCCGGGCGGGCACTTGGTGTGCGGAGCGCAGCGCAAGCGCCCCCCGGGCAGCGCATCGCCACCGTCGCCACCTTCGCCGCCTTCGCCGACGCCGTCGCCGCCGTCGCGCGCGTACCACCCTGCCGGGCACGCGCACACGCGGTCGTGCCGCTGCGTGCACGGCGCCCGCTCCACGCCATCGGACTCGCCGCAGGGCGGCCCGCAGCGCCGGCAGCCGTTCGCCGCGTTCTCGTGCCCCAAGAAGGTGCCGGACTTGCAGGCCACGCACACACGCAGCTCGTTCGCCGTGCAGTGCGAAAGCACGCGCGTGCCAGCTGGGCACTTGTCGCACAGCACCTCCACCCCGGACTGCGGGTCCACGCGCCAGTAGTGGGACCGGCTCTCTTCACCGGCGCTCTCGTTGTTGTTGCTGCTGCTGCTGCTGTTGCTAGTGCCAGGCGCCGCCGACACCGCGCTTGCCATTTCCACATCCAAGCCATGGTTGTCTTCATTTGTTGGTGCTGCTGAGTTGTCGGAAGTTCTATAAATAGGCGCGAATCTTGGTGGGTTTGAGTACATTTCATGCCCGGCTGGCAAATCGACTGCCAGTGTCTCCCTCGACATACTGTCCAGTGCATCTTCACCTTCTGCTGGGGACCCAACCTGCTCAATTGTCTTCTCATCGTGGTGTTGCCTTCTGCTTGTGTCGAGTTGGCCCTGCTGGGATGTTGATTGCTTTAGTCCGGCCACTCCAGCTGACATCTTCTGATGACCTAACCGTGGTTCCGACCTTCCTCGATGAGTCTCAACCAATTCAGCCAGCAGATGCTCTGCATTTTCTTCCAACCTGGGATTCCTTTCACGTCGCAGCGGGATGTGTCGAGAGCTGTGGCCAACAGGTGTTCGTGGCTTGGAGTCCGCGACGTGCATGTCTTCTGGGGAGCTGCTGTCCTTGATTAGGATGGTGCTGATGCTGGGTCTGCGTTTCTGTTGCACGCTTGGTTTCTTCCGCCTGTGTCTGATTTTCTTGGTGGTGCCGACTCTCTGTTCGCCTGGTGAATCTCTCCAGTGGCCTTCCCTGGATTCCCTGGGTCCTGAGACACCATCATAGGGCGTTCCAATCCATGGATGATGCCGATGGTAGCTTCTAAGCCTGTGCTCTTGTTCGGACAGGCCATCGACGTCATGGTTTCTCACATTCTTTGGTAGTTTTGTTTGCAATTCTGTAAACGTGTCCGTCTCCCTGGCGCTCCTGGTCCTCCTTCCACGTAGGTGCCCGATGTCCTCACCGTTTCTTCCACTTCCACCTATCGCTTCCTTAAAGTCCAGTCGGCGGTGCTGGGATATCCCTGAGAGCAGAACATTCGACTGGCCGCTTTCGCCGGCTTCCGTGGATCTTCCGGTGCGACCGTGAACAGGCTTCTCACGTAGCTCTCGGCGTGGATCGGCGTGACTTGGCAGCCACTTTGGCTGTTCGTAGTCTTGATTAGGAGTGGGGCCTAAAGTGGAAGCGACGGAAGGACCCGCTTCTCCAGCTTGTTCGGCCGTAAGGTTGTGTCCTTCAGATGGTTCTGCGTGCTCAACGCCTTGCTGATGGCCAGAGTAGTCACGGAGCTGGGAAGCATTTCCATTGTCCAGTTCTGCATAGCTCTTGGGCAAAAGGTGTAGTTGGCTTGAGTTGGAGGCATAGTTGGGATTCTGGGCAGCAACAGCACCAACAGCAAACCAAAAGCACAGCTGTCGAGATGACAGAAACAAAGCAAAAGTTAGAACTGCAGGGCATGCAATTAATAATTAAACGTTTGAAAAAATGGGAAATATTTATTCGCCCATTGACATTTTACAGGAGCTAATGTGAAGCAATGGTTTCGTGAGCAATTAAACATTACTTCCAAGCCAAGTGAGAATTTGAGCGCCAGTGTTTCGACCCGCTGTGCCGGAATGACTTGTTAATTACTGCGTACATGTGCGTCGCATCCCACAGCACGTACGTCTGTGTAGTGAGCTGGCCAAAATCTCTCCTGCTCTGGTCCTTGTGTTCAGAGTTAACATTCCCATTGGTTCCTTCCAGCGCACTATGCCTCGATGTTAACCCAGCATCGTTTGTGAGAATTGGAATTTAAGCGCCAGTTGAGGAATGCCTAACGTTCACTCCACAGAACCCACTATTGTCCTACTAATATAACATTCTAAATTAATGCTGTTAAGTGTTAATATGTAAAATACCATCGGCCAAATTAAAAAGATGAATCAGATTATATTCCTGATGAACATAGTTAATGTAAAAAGTATCATAATTTATCATAACATTACGAATGCACAGGAATGTTGGGTCATTTCATAAAAATGTGTTGTTTCCTATTACACTGTTTTATGGTCATTGCAAACAGTGGGCAACCAACATATTTGCAAAATTCTCGCTATGGGCCATTCCTGACAGGCGAATGATTCCTCATTCCGACTCATAGCCAAGTATGAGTGTTCCACATGTGACCAAATCATCCGGAAAGCACCTTGACCTCGTCAGATCTCGAAAGATAGGCAGAGTTGAGCCTAAACAGTGCTCGGATGGGTGGCTACATTGCATGCCAGGCATTATTAGGTGGCTTCAGGGCTCTGCGATGTTGCCGACAGCAGAGGACAGTGCAAAAACATCGACTGTTGGTTGACCAGTGGTTCTCTACTAACGCATCAAATGCTCTTCACCTTTATCAACCCGCACGGACCAGTGTGATTAAGTGTTCAAATAACTCCCGGAAACCTCACAGAATAGGTGAAGCCCTCATCTAGCAGTGGACTACCAAAACGCCTGTACATTTCCTTGACATTTCCAGCCATTGGTGATATTTTTTTTTGTTCAACGGCCTGCGAAACAAAGAGAAACGTTGCAGCAAAATGAAAAGGGGCGTTCAGCACGCCCGCATTGTGCATTTGAGGTGGCACCTCTCACACGCACGAAGCTTGACCGCTCGTTAAATCCTCGCTTTGGTGGCAAGCGCGGTGAATTGCAAAGAAGAGAATGCACAGCGCTCCAGCACAAACGCTCAAGCTGCAGCTGGCACTCCAACATCGGTGCCGACATGGGTGCGCACGCAGCAACGAACATGCCACTACGTTACATAATGACGCTCATCGTTTGGTGGCAAGCATGGTTCTGCCTTTGCCTGACTGAGACCTAACATGCCGAGTGATTAGACGGAAAAAAAATTTGTGTGTGTGCATATAGTGTCAAGTCATGCGGAACTGTTGCAAACTGCTCCTGCATTTACAGGCCAGTATGCACTAATGGCACTACAATGTCATGTGAGCTTCACGACTAAACGCAGGAATCTACCACAGATTAACCTTGTTGCTACCCAATCAGAAAAAAATGTATCCGAGTATTCACGCAAGGTAGGTTAATATGGTTATTTACTTTTGTTTTCCATTAAATTTATGTTAAATCTATTAGTCTGACCACAAGGATGCAAAAGAAAAGATGCTGGTACATGCGACTACTGTAATTGGCAAATGCTTCCTTCACATACTGTATAGTGTATCTTCTGAGCTGTTGTTTCATGCTCAGCAGGCATGCATGTCTACTGGTCTGTGGTAAAGCTCGAGCTAGGCAAAGGACAGAATGATACAATGTAATTAATTTACTTCATAATGAAAATACACCCAATATATCACTGGAAATAGGCAACTCATTTTGCACCTTTAATAAATATACGTGGCATAACAGTTCATCATAGTGGCTAGATGCACCATCCATATTTTAATATATTATGCAACATGTGCCATATTTATCGGGCCAATTATTACAGGATCTATAACTTATGACAATGGGCTGCAATAAACTACAGGATTATTTAAATCACAAGCAGAACAGACCACGTGTGATAGCAGGCAATTATTGGCAGATGATATTCCGCTGCCGTTTCAGATTATTGAAATTCCTCTTGATTAATTAAATGTGGGTGGCAGATTGGCCACTAGCTGCCCGTGAAGACACGACAATGCGATGAATTACAGCCACCAAAAGCTACCATAGGGGTTACTCTGTTCTGTTTGACAGCGGGAGGTATTCCGGAGATCACGTTATCACAGGCATTTGCTGTTGGCCAAAGGTCTCCCACTTGCACCGCGGAAGTTGAAAAGTTTGAAAGTGACCTCACTTCCCTCCTGGGTTATGTAAAGGCCACTCGAGTAAAATAAGTTACCATGAACGCTCAAACGTGAATGCGCTGCAATGCCAATTAAATATTATAACACTAATTCAGTAGTAGTAATAGGTTTTTACCCTTTTATCTGGCACCAAAACTGACACCTTTATACAAGGGATCATGTTTGCAATAACCAGAACACAAGCAGTCAAAATGCAAACAAAAAGAGACAACTCTGATAATGATATGCACTGTCCGTGAAATTGATTGGTCCACACCCGAGACGGCTTTTCTTAGAGCCCAGTCTCCACTGGTGTTGGACCAGATGACGCCAAAAGGCGCACAACTCAAAAACAGCGCACCATCAGAGCATTGAGAGCTCGGGGTAAGCAATTACACTATGAGACCTCCTTTGCCAGTAGCAAGATAAAACGGACTCCTTTATCCCTTGTATAAAGGTGTCAGTTTTGGTGCCAGATAAAAGGGTAGAAACCTATTACTATATCTTGCTACTATATCTTGTCCCTCTTGTATGTATTTAACATTTTTTTTGTACATTTTACTCCTCACCCTCAAAAAATGATGCAAGAAATGCACAACAACTTAATTTGCGTTTGAATGGAAACAACTGGAAAAGGCCCACTTATGGTAAGGCGGGGGGGGGGGGGGTTGAGTTTGGGAGGCTCCGATTTAATTGGCAAGATGCTGGCAAATGATTCTGTGGCAACTCCAACATTGAACAGGCACGGCCAGTTTTAAAGACCCAGATGAGCTGACAACAAAGGCAACGAGGGCTGAAGTTGAAGAGGGAGGCTCGATATACGATGTAAACTCCAAGCTATACTGTCAGGGATGGCAGAAACTTCCTAAACCGATGAAGCCACAAACCAAAATCTTAACATGGTCGAGAGGGCTCTGGATCTTAGAATTTAGAAATTGGCGTGAATATTACTGGATGTACTGGTGTCAAACTCCGCTACCAGGATCGAGTGTCCCGGGCCGCTCCCATGACCAAAGATATTTCCTGCTTAAAATAAAGTTACACTGAAAAGTTACAAGTGAGATGCGACTATTGAGCCGCAGTTGGACTGCTCGTGAATCACGGTTTGATTGCCCGTGTACTATGTATTGAGCCGCAGTTGGACTGCTCGTGAATCACGGTTTGATTGCCCGTGTACTATGTAAAAGCAGCAATTTCAGCCAGAGCCAATGATTAAATGTATTTCCATATGAAATATACAATACCTCCCAATGAAATGTAATACTCAATTATGAAAATGTCAAATATTTTCATAATAGGTTTACATTTCTTGAGATAGATCATCCACAGAATCCCCAAGGACACATTTAATTCCGCAAATGTTCATCACTTTGTTCTTTTGTTGGCACGCATGAAGTAACAGTTTGCAGAAGTAAAGTTCGCACAGAAAAATGACGAATAAATCTGTTTGCTGTAGACAAATAACTTGTCCCTCATGGATACAGAAAAGAAAAAGGAACAGCTACCAAGCACTTGGTCATTTACCAGGTGAAGGGCTTCTGGCATGTTCTGTAATGAGGATAGTATAAATGTATTAATTTTCAGCCCTTTGTCAATTCACTGGAATATGAAGGCCTCCCCATACTTTTGGCCATAGGGTTGTTTAACCATAATGCACCACGCTGGTAAGTGCGGGTTGGGAAAGGTGAGATGGCAAAGGGGCCAGGACAGACGTCACTCGCTGCTGATGTTATCTGTGGCCGGGAAGAAAAAAAGACTCAGGCTACCAGGTGGACAGCAAAATGCACTAACTCATCAAATTGACACAATTTATATGGAATCGCCACAATTTATAAAATCAACGAGGTGGCTATTGATGACAAGCCAACTGATAAGTGCAGTACGCCACTAAACTTAAAAGATGATATGACATTTTTTTGATATACTGTACCGCATAATGTTTTCACATGTTTCAGATGTAACACGGTTTAATTTTAAAACATTACACATGCTCCTGCAAAAATGCTAACATCATCAAGTAATTGGGACACCTGATAAATGTTTGCTTTTGTTTTTTTTTTAAATAATGCACCGTTGACAGCTCCATTACATGGTTACACCTGCTCCGCAACCCGAGCGCCGAGTGTAGCCAAAGGAAATACATTTCGGGCGGCACACACACACACACGATGGCAACAGTGTGCAACCATTCCGGCACGGGGATAAACACAGCCAGAAAGCAGATCTGCTTGTGCACCCCGGCTGGGATGAGGGTCACATTCAAGAGGGGCTTGTGTAGTGTTATACAGCGTGGCGATCGTATTACGGTTCAAAGAAAGACACAGTGGCACCGAGGCTATTCATGTCGGCCCGCGCCACCCTGTGTTTACAGGACTGTGCACCGTGAATGGAAAATGGGGGGAGTTGGCAGGGGCATTGGGGGGGAGGGGGGGAAGGATGGCAAACAAAGAACGAGGTGGAAGGGATGATGGAAGGTACTGTTGAGGTGAAGATCGACAAAAGAGTGCGCAGTTGTGAGGACTGTACGTCCAAATGAAATATTTCACTTGTAATTGGCTCGGCAATAATTCAACCAACAAACCAAAAGCCAT